TGGCCCTGGTGCGCTTGGCCCCTTCAGCTGGCGCCCGTCCTCATGCACCGTCGCGGCCTGCAAGTGCTGTATCGTGGTGCTGATCAGCTCGTCGTAGCTCCTCTCGCTCTACATCTGCAGCACCGTCATGATGTTCTTAGGAGCCATCTGCAAGCATATTATCTTCTTGACTCCTGCGTTGAACACCTCTCTGGATGCCGTCTCGTAGCGCCTGATGTCGCGCCCCCAGTCTGCGCGGTGCTGCTCGAACCCCGACAAATCCGAAGGGAAGGGCTTCACGTTGAGAATCGCCGTCGTGATGCTTTGCGCCCTCATCGCCGTCGCTGTCCCGTAGCACTTAACCGAGGCTCGCCGCGCCACCGCCCCGTTCTGGTCCTCCACACTCCTGATCAGCATCGGCGCGCTGCCCTTCACTGTCATGGCCAGAGCGAAAAACATCTTCTTCGTTGCCGAAACTCCATCGGCTCCCAAACGACGCATGGTTTCCGCCATGCTGATGTCTGGATCTCCACGCTGCTCGGCCGCCTCCAGAAGATTCAGAGCCTGAGTCGTCTGGCCGCCCATGTACGCCCTCATCGCAAGCTCCGCTCCGTCCAGTGCTCCTCCTGGCCGTCGAACATTGGCGGTTTCAGCCCCGAGCCCTGCCACTCAGCGCCCGGCTCTGTCATGGTCACGTAGACCTCGTCCTGCACGCCTGTGGTCACGTAGACCTCGTCCAGCACTCCTGTGGTCACGTAGACCTCGTCCTGCACTCGTGTGGTCACGTAGACCTCGTCCAGCTGCTCGGCCAGCTGGTTGCCGTAGATCGCTTGCCTTGGCTGGCCGGCTGCGGCCGCGAGGGCAATGGCCAGCGCCCTCAGCCGCGGGAGGGGCGCCCAGCGCGAGTTGGCCGTAGCCAGCTCCGCTACCATGACAATTTTTGTGCCAAAGAGGCTGCTCTCGTTTAAACGTGTTTAAACCGCTTTATCTACGGCTTCCTTAACAAATTCGAATTGAAACTGTCGAGTCCCAGCCTCCAGCAAACTTCCGGAACACTTCATGTGTTCTTGAATGGGAGTTCAATGAAAATGGTCGAGCCCAGCTTCCAGCAAAATCCTACAATAATCGATTGCCGTTCAATAGGAATTCATAATGCGCTCATTGTTGCCATTTTGGCAGACGGTGCCAATCTGAACCCATCATGGTTCTGTTGTTGTCCTTCTGGCAAGCGGTGCATCCTGCGGACATTCTGCGGGACCCAGAGGAATCCCATGGCGTCTGGATCTGCGCGCTCTGACCCCGCGAGGCGCCCGCTCCACTTTGGAACTGGAATTTACTTGCGATGCAAGAACATTTTCCGGAATCCCTGTTCGCTGGTCCCCTTTCGCGGGTCCCCGTTCGCCAAAGTCCCTGTTCGCCGGGTCCCCGTTCGCCGAGGCCCCGTTCGCCAAAGTCCCCGTTCGCCAGTTCCCGTTTGCCGGTCTCCATTCGCCAATCACTGTTCGCCAGTCCCCGTTCGCCGGTCCCCGTTCGCTGGTCCCTGTTCGCTCGTCCTTGTTCGCCGGTCCCCGTTCGCCGGTCCCCGTTCGCCGGTCCCCGTTCGCCTGGTCCCTGTTCGCCAGGAGTCCCCATTCGCCGGTCCCCGTTCGCCTGATGCCTATTCGCCAGGCGGGCGGGCCCGGCAGCGGGCGGGACCCTAATGGGCGGGTGGGCGGGAGGGCGGCGGACCAGGCGGCGACTACGACGATGACGACAACGACGATGACAACAAGTTCGACAACGACGACCTGGGCGACAACGACGACGACAACGACGACGACGACTCAACGACAACGACGACGCGACGAGGGCGGCAACGACAACGACGACGACGACGAGGGCGGCAACACCGACGATGAAGGCGAAAAGACGACGACGACGACGACCACTGCGTCGACCACTACGACGAAGGCGGAACGACGACGACGCCGACGCCGACGACGAGGGCGGCAACGACGACGACGACGACGACGACGACGACGGCGGCGACGACGACGACGGCAGTGGGCGGACCCCCACGGGCGGGCGGCGCGTCGGGCGGGCGGGACATCGAGGTGTCAGAAGCACACCCTTAACGGGCGGGTCGGGTCGGGCGGGCGTACCCGAACGGGCGGACAGGCGGCGGATCGGGCGAGACACTTCAAGCATGACGCGTAATCGATCTATCACACGCGCACCCTAACGGGCGGGTCGGGTTGGGCGGGCGGGCCCTAACGCACATGCGGGTCGGGCGAACGGACCCCAACGGGCGGGCGGCGGGTCGGGCGGGCGGGACATGAAAGTATGACGCGCAACCGATGTATCACACGCGCACCCTAAGGAGCGGGTCGTATCGGGCGGGCGGACCCTCAACGGGCGGGCGGGTCGGGCGGCGAGGGAGGACAGCAAGGACCTGGAACATCTTGGAGCGTGTTGCCAGTCGGTCAGAAGAACTGGGTAGAAGCATGAAGCAGGACGGCGGTGAAAGCAGATCGGCCTTCCGCCCGCCCCCTGGAGAGGAAGGCGGAGGGGAAGCCGCTCGATCATTGATGCAGGAAGGCGCCCAGAGCATGTTGGGACCTGGGAGTCCAGAAATGCTGTACTGTGGTCAAGGGCTTCTGTGGGCCACGCTCGGGCTCCGGAACCGCATCGACAGAATGGTAAGGGCTGCGAGCCATCACGGCCCCCCTCGGCTCGCGCACCCCTACCCGAACCTCTCTCACCACGCCGCGAGGACCCTAAAGTCGGGGAGACGTAAGACCCGGGTACGGGGGACTCGGAAATCCCCGACGAGGTCGTCAAAAAATGACGAGGCCGAGCCTGCATTTTGACGAGGCCTCCCGCTGCAGACATCCCACGAAACTCCTCCTCGTCAAAATCCGAGGCGCGGTCGTCAAAAAACGATGGCGAACCCGAGTCCTGGCAAATCCAGGTCTTACGCTCCCCCGACCCTACCCGAACCTCTCTCACCACGCCGCGAGGACCCTAAAGGCGGAAAGTCGGAGGCACTGCAGCACCCGCCTCGACGACCGGCGGGCACTGCAGTGCCCAAGGGCTCCCAACTTCGCGCTTCGCGCTTCGCGAAGCGCGAAGCGCGAATCATTTCGCGCTCTCGCTCCGCCTCCCAAGGGAGAAGAGGAGGAAGACGAGGAATCGGAGCCGCACCGCGAGGCGCGAATCGCCTTGCGCCCTCGAGGGCGCCCTTGGTGCCTCGTCGCTGCTCTGGCCGGGTGGCCGCAGGTGCCCCCCTGCAGTGCCCATGGGAGGCCCCGAGCCCAGACCCCCGACGTAACGATTTTTTTCATTACGTCGACCCCAAGAGGTCTGGACCCTTTCCCCATGACCGGCTTTGCATCCTGAGTCGCTTTTTGACGCTCCCGAGGCCCGGTGAGGGCCCCTGGAGGCCGAAAATTAGGAAAAAAACATCCCGTCATGATTTTTTCATTACTCGAGGGGGTCTGGGAGCAGCGGAAGAGGGGTGGTCTTCCCTGCCCGGCCGTCGGCCGGCAGGCCCATCCTCTCGCCGGGGGCCTCGGCGTGAGTGCGGCGCCTCGCCGGTCGGCGGCGAGCCCGGGAGGGCCGCGGGCGAGGGAGCGGGCCCTCACAACAGGAGGTGGGGCTGCTCAGACGCCCTCCCGCCTTCCGAGCAGCCGCCGCCGTCTCCGGAGATGGCCCGGCAAGGGTCCCAGAAGGTCCTATGGGCCTTCGGATGCTTCCGAGAAGGCCCGGGCCCCCTCCGACTGCCCCCGCAGGCTCGCCGCCGACTCGAGGTGGCCGATTGACTTCGAAAGTTCAGCGAGCGAAGAACGGTATAAAATAAACTTTTTCGCTGTCGGGGGCGCCTGTCCTTGGGCGGCTGGAAAGTTTATGCCCCTACGGTGCCACCGTAAGGGTATAAACTTTCCAGCCGCCCTGGGACAGGCGCCCCCGACAGCGAAACAAATTATTTTATACCGTTCTTCGCCCGTTGAAAAGTGTCCCGCCTCAAGTGACCTTGGCGCCCGCCCACTGCAGCCGAGGGGGGGAGCAGCGGCGCGGCGGCCCGCCTCACTGCTCCCACGGTGGCCCCTCTGGGGCTCGCGCGCTGCCGGCCCAGCGGCGCTTGAGGAACTAGAGCGGCCCCATGGTGGCACCGCGCTGGGCTCGCGGCTGCACGACCCCTCCGCCGTGGAGGAGGGCGCCGCAGGGGGCCCTCTTGGGCAGAACGAGAGGGGGGGGGGCGAGGAGCAGGAACCCGCCGGCGAGGAGCCGCGCCCGACGACGAGGACCGGGAGGCCGACGAGAAGGGGCGAGGAGCGAGGGAGGCGTCTTCGGCTGCCTTCTCTGGGCCTCAAGGTATGCTGGATCAGTCCTCTTCCCCCCTTCACTGCTGCGGCCTGGCGGGCGCATGCTCTCTATCGCTGTGGGGCCCTTCTACTTTTTCGGCGCATCTCTTAGCCTTGCCTTTTTTCAGCTGCGCCCGCGAGGCTGAATGAGTTTGCTCTCGGGCCTAAGTCGGCATACTGTACCTCTTTTCTGCAGACCCAGAGCGCAACGATCTCTGATCCATGTTTGTGCAACGCCGAAAAGGGAGAGAGGCGAATGATGGTGAGGAGGGGGGCAAGGCTGCTCTACGCTCTCTGGGGTGTTCCTGTTTTGCCATGGGCTCCTTGCCTCTCTGCCATCCGCTCCTGTTTGCAGCTTGATTTGTTGTCATCGTGCCTAGGCCTGTGTCCTGGCATCGCGCTTCTTCAGGAACGCCACGAACCCAGAGCTTGCAGCAGCCCGAGGAGGAGGAGGAGGAGGAAGGGAAGGAGGAGGAGGGAAGGAGGAGGGAAGGAGGAGGAGGAGAAGGGAAGGAGGAGGAGGAGGAGGAGGAGGAGGAGGAGGAGGGGAGGAGGAGGAGGGGGAGGAGGAGAAGGACGAGAGGAGGAGGAGGAGGACGAGGAGGAGGAGGAGGAGGAGGAGGAGGGGAGGAGGAGAAGGAGGAGGAGGCGGGGCCCTGACCCCGCGGCGCCGGGGGCCTTGATCTGCCCCGACTGCTGCACCGACTTCTCGAAGCGGTTGCCGCCGGAGGCCCCCGCCGACGGCGTCTCGCCCGCGGCGGTCCCGCTGCTGTGGACCTGGGCCCCCGTGGCCATCGCTCGGACGTCCATTCCCTGCGTTTTTGTTCGGTTTCGTGCGTGGTTGTTTCGCCAAATGATCAAGGAGGAGGAGGAGGGGGAGGAGGAGGAGGAGGAGGAGGAGGAGGAGGAGGAGGAGGGAAGGAGGAGGGGGAGGAGGAGAAGGCTCCTCGATGCTCCTCGACGGCCCTTGCCGAAGGAAAAATGCACACGTCCGAGCGATGCCACGCGGGCGCCAGGGGCGGCCGCCAGGGGAGGACGGGCGGAAAATTCCCGCGGCCGTCGTCCTTCGGCAGTATACAAGAAGCATTCCACAAGAAACCCCACCCTGAGACCCCAGGGCGTCCACCGATGTTTGGTGTGTGAACGTCACGCTTCCCATCGCAAAACGATCGGGACCCAAAGAAACCCAGGGCACCCTGGAGGCGAGCAGGGTGTTTCTTGGCATCGGTCTCCACTGTATGTGCTTCAGCGTGCTTGTGCTGAGAGGCGGATTACACATATAGCTTTCTTGTGCGTTTCGCCCCTGTCTGGTATGCTTCTGTGTGAAGTCCACCTGGGTCCTGTCCGACTCATTCCAAGCCACCTCTAACCCTCCACCCATCGAACCACCGCTCATGTCTTGACAACCTGCGCGCTGCTCTCTAACACCGCGTGGATCGTTCACCCCTGAACGATCACGGCTTTCATGCAGCGCTGATCGTACGATGTCGACCGACTCCAGCCCGCTGGTGGTGCTCAATCTCGAACTGTCGCGCTGGGGTCGCCGCTGCGGCGACCGCTGGCTTCGCCGACGGTTGGCTTCGCCCGGCTGGTTTCGCCGCCCGGCGAAATGAGCTCCGTCGGCGAAACCAGATCCGTCGGCGGAACCAACTGCCGTTGGCGAAACCAGCTGGCGAAACTGCCCGACCCGACCCACCCGCTAGGGGCCCGACCCGACCCGCACGTTAGGGTTCGCGCGTGCTCGGTCGAGCGCGTTTTACACTTGAATGTCCCGCCCGCCCGACCCGACCCGCCCGTTAAGGTCCGCCCGCCCGACCCAACCCGACCCGCCCGCTAGATCCGACCGCCCGACCCGACCCGACCGCTAGGGGGCCGATCCGACCCGCACGTTAGGGTTCGCGAGTGCTCGGTCGAGCGCGTCCCATACTTGAGTGTCCCGCCCGCCCGACCCGACCCGCCCATTAAGGTCCGCCCGCCCGACCCAACCCGACCCGCCCGCTAGATCCGACCGCCCGACCCGACCCGCCCGCTAAGATTCGCGCGTGCTCGGTCGAGCGCGCCCCACACTTCAGTGTCCCGCCCACCCGACCCGAACTGGCCGTTCGAGACCGCCCGCCTGGCCCGACACGACCCGCCTGCTAGGGCCCGTCCGCCCGACATGACCCACCAGTTAGGGTTCGCGCATGCTCGGTCGAGCGTGAACACAGCACAATCATGCCGATTCTTGAAGTAGGAAGGCGCTTGAAGTAGATTGGGATCTGGGAACTTGCCATCGATCGGACGTCCATTTCCTGTGCATGTTTCGATCTCGTGCGTGTTTTTTTTTTTGCTCGATGGTCCAGGATGGTCCTCGACGGTTCTCGCCGAGAAAAAAAATGCACACGTCCGAGCGATGCCAAGGGAATCCAAAAATACCTACCTTCAACGACCGGCGTGTGCTGCCCCGCCCGCCCGACCCGACCGCCCGCCAGGGCCCACCCGCCCGGACGCCACCCGCCCGCTCGTGCCCGCCCGCCGGACCCGACCCGCCCGCGCCAGGGCCCGACGCCCGCCGCCCGACGACGACGACGACGACGACGACGACGGCGACGACGGCGACGACGGCGACGCCGTCGGCGACGACGGCGAAACCAGCGCCGGCGAAACCAGCGCCGGCGAAACCGGCCGCCGGCGAAACCAGCGGGGCGAAACCAGCGGGGCGAAACCAGCGGCGGCGAAAGCAGCGGCCGCGATTCCAGCCGTCGGCGAAACCAGCGGCCACGAAACCAGCGCCGGCGAAACCAGCTCGTGCCGCCGCTGCGGAGACACGACGCGGACCAACCGTAGCTCGACGACGTGAGGCTGAAGGCCGCCGAGGACAGCCAGCTGTCATCGCAGGATGCCCCGCCAGCACGCAAGTGTCACACGAGGCGTCGCCAAGGAGGGAGGCAAGGAGAGAGGGAGGGAAGCTGGGGACTGGCGGAGGGCACGCGGCGCGAGGGCAGGGCCGAGGAAAAAGCCTGGAGGAACTCTGGATAGACAAGTGGCTTCATTGAAGGGCCGCAGGCTCCCGACGATGCCTTCTCGACGCAGGGAGTGTTCCTAATCAGCCCCCTGGCCTTCTTGCAAGCACCCCGCCTTCTTGGAAAGCCAGCCCCCGTGCCCGAAACCCCTGGCGCGCGCAGCCAAGGGGAGGATGATGGAAGGTTCTCTGCCCGTCGACGAGGTGCGCGGCTCTCTTGCAACGACGGCGGGCGACGCCGAGGAACGAGCGAGAGGCGAGGAGCACCCACGCGCACACCCGGAGGGGCCTCGATGGCGAAGGGAAGCGGCCTCGATGGGGCACTACCAGAGATGACCTTGCCAAAGCCTCCTTTTCCTCCTCCTCCTCCTCCTCCTCCTCGTCCTCGTCCTCCTCAGTCAACGTATGCACTCGTCTTGTACTCCCTCTCTGCCTGCCTGATGCTCTGCTTGTCCGTGCTATCCGCGTGGAACCTTTTTCCAGAGGACTGGGAGAGAGGTACGTTGATGTCTGAGGTCCGCCACCTCCTGGCGGGAAGAACTGCGCCGTCTGTCGGCGCGCAGAACACTGGCTGCAGCCTAGATCCGAAACAGCCGCAGATGCATGGGGTCAGGGCGAGACCCAGCCGAGCCCGACGAGAGGGTTCTGATCGCACTGGTTGTACTTGGAAGCTGCTCGCTCCTCACGATCTCATCCTCCGTCTGTAGCCGATGTCACCGGCTCGTCGTGCCTTTGACCCCACACTGGCTCACTGGATCCTCGAATGGGTGTGCACCCAAGACGTAGTCGTGCTGACTTGGAAGACTTCGTCAACTGCCAGCGTCCGGACGAGAGCGCATCCAGAAGTGGTTCTCGTGCGCACGCGCCCTTGGTCATGGCGTCCGCTAGCATGTCGACCGTACTGCACCACCACAGTCGCTCCAAGAGACCAAGACTAAATTGTTCTCTCACGGCCATCACGATACTGATGAGTGACTCCTAAAGCGGCAACTTGACGTCCTGAGCTGTCACGGACTTGAGACGGAGTCCGCGTCGATGACTGCTTCCATACGTACAGGCCAGTTGCCTTGGGATGCGTCACCCGCTAACTGGTGCGCAGTGGTGATGCCGTTGATCACTTCACTGCACTGCATTGCAATCACTTTGCCTGGCTCAATTTCATCAGCGAGACCGTTGATCTCTGCAGCGAAGGTCGATCTCGTCACTCGACGATGTCGCTTGGACACGGCCTCTAGCCAATGAGCTCTGCCGCCTGGGTTGTCGTCCTGCTTCTCAGCCAAAGCAAGTGCGTGTCCACGGCGCGCCATGGACTCACCGTTCTCTCGTTTGAAAGCTGAGTTGCTGATGACAAGAACACGCAATGGCGGCAACAGCTTCTCGAAGCGAATCACGCAGGCCTTGCGGTTGACCCACTTCAGCACGCGGTTCAGATTGATCACATCCATGATAGTGGGGGCCTTCTGGTGACGCTGGAGGGCCCCCACGTAGACCGCGATGTCATGTCTGGCATTGACGGCCCATCTTAAACCGCCTTGTAGTGCGCGAGAGTGTCCGTGTAGGGCGTCGTCCACCACGTCATCTGGCGACGACCTCTGTTCTGCTGTGAGTGGGATCGGCTTGAGCTCCTCGATGTAGTGGTCCTGAGTTATGGTGATGCTGCCGTCGTCTAGCTGCTTGTGCTGGATACCGCAGTGCTCGAACTCTCGTTCCTGCACGGCGATCTTGCCAAACTTGGATTTCAACTGCCCGAACAGCCAAGCACGCCATTCAGGGGTACCTGCTCATTTCAAATCAATGTGTGTTGACGGCAGCCCATGCATATTCCCATCTTTGAACCACATCCATATGCATCCATCAAGAGAGGACTGTTGCCCTCCGACTGAGGTAAATACTGGCCCAGGCGCAGCTTCCATAACCTAGGGGCGCCCTTCAGTCCGTAGGCGCCCTTGAGGAGCTTGAGCAGGTGCGTCATCTTGCTAGTACCCTTGAATGCCTTGAACTCTTGCAAGATGGAGAAGACGTCTGCCGGTGGATCCAAGCACGCTTCTCGCATGACCTCCGCAACCTGCGCCTTGATCTCCGTCCAGCTGAGCCCTCTCAGGGCCGCATTGCCGATGTCCTAGCTGAAGATGGCCCAACCATACTGCACTCCGACACTAAGGACGAGGCGCTGTGAAGTGCGCCTTGCGGTGAAGCTGGCTGCGTCAAGGCCGCCCTGCTGCTGGCCCATAAAACCTCGAATGACCAGACGAGCTTTGACAGCCTTCGCGCCGTCGATGATCTTCCACCGCGGCACCCGACGTCCTGTCATGACGTTCTTGCCAGCTCCTCTAGGCACGGGGCAGAAGGCTTCGAGCTCCACCCAGGACTTGAGCTCCTTCAGCTTGGCCGCGAGCACGTCCTTGTGGTGGATGCGCTCCTCCTCCTCCTCCTCCTCCTGAGGTTGTGCATATCCTTCTCGATGAGGAAGCACCAGCTCCGCCTGGAGGAATCCCATCGTGCCACGAGACGCCCGTCTCGCCAGTCGTCCATGTGGGTGACGACATGACCACACTCCATCCAGTGCGCTAGTGTGTCGTCGAATTCGATCTGTGGAGGCTCGCTGCCGGTGACGTTCGGCTGAGGAACTCCAGACAGTGCTTCGTTCACGTTGAAGACAGCCTTCGCCTCGATGATCTGCCTGCTGCAATGACTGCTGACCGCAGCCCACCAAGCGTCGACGTAGAGGTTCTCGTCGTGCACTTCCTCGTCGTCGTCCATCGAGACCTCGTCGAGACGGTCGCCGTCCTCGTCATACGGCATGGTCTCGAGCTCAGCCTGGTCATCATCGTCAGGGACCTGAACTTGCCCGGCATCAGGTGCTAGAGCATTCGGTCCACTGCATGACGAAGCTCCTGGCGAAAAAGTCGGATGTACTTCTTGCTCACGAGGTTCTCGCAGAGGGAGAACTGGTCGTCAAGTCCCTGCTAACTCCTCCTTATCCATCCGAGGTCGTCGTGATGGCGTAGACGGTCCAGCAAGGGCAGGAGTGCTCGATCTGCCACGCTTCGAAACTCGTGGTTCGTCACTGCTAGCTGGTGGCGCAGTCGGTACAGGCGTTGCGAAGCGAACAGATTTGTCCGATCTGCTTCTTGATACCGAAGATGTGGGTGTCCGTTGTCGTGGGTCCATGGGCTGGTCTGGAATGAGCATCTCCTGGTCTGGTCCAGGAGGATCTAGAGGATCTCGAATCTCCTCCGGGATAGATGGGAGCTCCCGGCTCCGACTTCGCTCGTTCTGTGGAGGCGAACGACCACGACTGACATCAGGAGGCGCTGGTGGCTGTGGAGGTCGTGGTGGCAAGCCTGCTGGGATCATGTCCTCGTCGGAGTCGTCTTCGAAGCTGCCCATGGCCTTATCCATCTCGATGTCTGGTGATGCACGATCTCGTCCCTCACGCTGTATAGTCCTTGCATCTGTGTCCGCAACGGTGAGGAACTGCACCCAGTAGGTGTCGCGCCAGCGTCCGCCAAACACCTGCGTGGTATCAAGACGGCGTGTCCCTTGCCACTCCAGGTAACTATAGCCGTCCTGACCAGTGCACCAGTAGGCGAAGGGCGTGAAAGAAACCGCGTCCATCTCAGGAATGGTGTGTATGCCATAGCCCACTCGAATGCCTACGCAGTTGGCGAGACCCATATGCATGTTGGCAATCATGAGGCCTCGAGCAAGTATCCCAGGATGAAGTCGAGCTCCCTGAGATATGATCCAGCCCTGTGCTGCGTAGACCCAGCCGATGACGATCATACGACGGCCGGGCTCGGTGACGAACTCACGCAGCGGGGCCCACTCGTCTGGGAACTGCAGGAAGAAGCTCGACCAGAACGTGGTATGCCGCCTCACGTAATGGAGCCTGCAGATGAGCACGCGGCCTCCCCAGCGTACGTGGACGATGCCGTCGTTGAGCGTCTCCTCAGTAGCGTCCACGATCTTCGCCGGGCCTCTCCATCCGTCGAGGTCCTTGTTGGGCGGTGTCTGGAAGATGTCCACGAGGTCGCCCGTCTTGTACTGAAACTTCTGACCAGCAGGACGCGTGCGTGAGCGCTCAGATCTGGTGAGGCGCTCGGTCGCAAGTCTTCTCGATCATGCTGGAGAGAGCACGCTCGCGCGCACGTGCTCGATGAAGATGCTGATGGTCTTCCTGCTGAGTCGTCGTGGGAGTCTCGAAATCCTGGAGCACATTGGGCGTCTCGCCCAGAACAGCCTTGTACGGTGTAGTCCTGCCGATAGTCATCAGAGCATTCTTAGCATAACACGACTCGCGTACGATCTGCTCGGGCTTGATAGTGATGCCCTCGCGGTCACACTGCTCTTTCAAGCGGTGGAAGACTCCCCGAAGAAGTTCATGATGTCTCTCGACCATCTGGGCGTGTTGGTCCACGGCTCTGAGCTTCCTATGAATGGCGTGACGTTCGCACATAGTCATGCCGGCGTCGTGCGCGAAAGCTCCTTCTTGGCCGAAAACGTGGAGGTCCAAAGATGGCGATCCACATGTCTTCAAAAGCAGGAAGGGCATCACCTTCTTCTCGTGAGGGAGCGGCTCGAACTGCTGTCCATCTGGTAGCCTCGTCCAGCACGTGCAGGATGGTGAGCTGAAAGATGAAGAAATCCACCTGCACGACCTGGTTGAACCTGGTGGTGAGACGTACTGCCGACATGAATTTGGCAGTGGGTCGTTGCCACATCTGGCAGACCTTACAAGATAGTGTCGTATGTGTAGACGCTGAATGACGCGCTTGACCTGAGCGTCGTTGCTATTGCGCAAGACCTTCAGCAACCGCCCCAAGTCGAATCGTGACCAGTCCGGCTCGTCCCAGGTGTCGGTGGCCTGTGTCCCGATGGTGGCGGTGCTGCGTCTCACTGGTGCTGACGATGATGCCGAAGGTCCTGATGATCCCGCAGCCTTCGGATTCGTCGAGACAGCAGGAGGACCCGAAAGAGCTTGGCGGATGCGAGCGTCGCTGGCTGCTCGAGCCTCGGCCGGATCCATCTCCGGCTCGTCATCCTGCTTCGCAGGATCTCAAGATGAACCCCTGCCAGGGACGGGAGTCCGCGGAGGCGGCTCGGCCCTCTCGCTGCTCTTCGGCTCGGTGACATCGCCAGCAGGTACTCGGGGAGCTGCCTTCTCACGTTCTTCGATCTGCTTGGAACTCCACCTGCACTCGTTGCCCTTGAAGGTGTGGCGAGGACCCCAGCGGTTGGCCTTGACCTTACAGGACGGGCAAGTAAAACGTCGATTCCAAACACTGCGAGCGGCCGCTGCTGGGATGTCTGGATAGAGGCACTCGCCGACGACCCTGGTGTGAGTAGGGTCATCCTTGCGCTGCCTTCGTCTGTATGCCAAACAACCTGCGACCGCCAACTCCTCAGCCGTAGGGTGCGCCTCAACTGGCTGCATGTCGAAGGCGCACTTGATACCTCTGGCGAGCAGTTGGCATAATCGCTTCGGCCAAACCTGGGTGTAGGGCGAGCGGCCGTTCTCATTGATCTGATGAACATGCTGTGGCGAAGCTCCAGGGCAGCGCAGTATCCGAAGAGGTCGAATGATCTCTGGGCGGTTCGCGTCGATGAGCGTATCCTTCCTGATAAGCCGCACTCTGTGTTCGTCGAAGGGGTCGGAAAGCCCATCTGCACACATCTGAATCTTGATGCTGTGGACGTCATCTCGTCCAAGTAATGCCTCCCAGTATGGTAGCTTCCACATCTCGCTCGCATATGAATTTTTCACTATGAAGAGGGAGCCCTGGGAGGCCCGGTGCTCAGCAACTTGCGCAGCCAACCTGGCGAGCTTCTCGCCGATGGCGCGGTTGCGGTGCCAGGTGTTCTGGCTGCGGGGTCGATGTCGGCGCACCTGTGACCACGGGCTGAAGGCGGTGCACGGCGGGGCCATGACGATGACGCGTGGGCGACATTTAATGATGTAGTACCACAGCTGTCGCACATCTTCTTTCTGGCCGCCCCTCAGGCCCAAGCGCGCACTGGACCTGGTAGTGCCCGCCTCGCCGCCGTAGATTTCCATAGTGGCGATGGTCGTCTCGACGAGGTAGTGCTCGAAGTCGCGGAGGCTGTCCTCATGGTAGCACTTGGTGCCCGCCGGGTCGTCGATTTCGTCGTCAATGTAGTAGATCTCGTCAGCCTGAGTGGCGCGCATGACGGTGAAGCTGGCGACGGCTGCGACGCGCTCGGCGTGCCGCTCCTGAGAGAACTCGCCGTGCTTGTCTTTCATCAGGAGTGGGGTGAAGTCGTCGCCGCAGTCCCCCGAGCACTCGTCTGGTAGTACGAGCGTCGGTTTGGCCCGCTTCTTGGTCTTGGTGACCACCTCCGTCTTGAAGATGAGGGGCTTGACCGGGGCGATTGCCGTAGTAGAAGCCGGTGCAGAGGGTTATGATGCACTCTGGTTGTACTTCTCGCTCTCTTCGCTCCTCAGTTGCAGGAACTTCATCAGGTCGAGGCGAGCTGCCATGATCACTCGCTCGGGGTACTCCCTGGATGCCTTGTTGCGGTCCAGGGCGTTGGAGGACTGAAAGCGCTTCCTCGTGGCTTGGTGCAGATGAGCTAGTTGGCAGCATTGTGCTCGATAGCTGCCAACAGGCCAGCCAAGACAGAGGTGAGGTAAGTCGATGGTAGATAGGACTCGTCGAAGTCGATGCCAGGGTCGGCCCGTCAAAGGGTCGACAGCGCCCAAACCACACCAGGAATACTTCCAATGCTTGAGGCGCTCGTATGTGAGCAGTGGTTGAAGCTCTGCATGCTTCCAGAAGTGGCTGCTGGCAGTCGTGACGATGACGACGTGGAGGCCACTGTCCAGCTGAGTGCGGACGAGCTCGGTGACGTACCTAGCCAGCTCGTGGTCCTTGGCGCTGCCAGTGCCCGTGGCCGCGCCTGGAGGGTCTAGCCACATGGCCTGAGCTGGTTCCTCTCGAACTTGTCGGAGTAACTCAAGCTGGTGAGTCCGCCACAGGAGATTCCACTTCGTCGTCAGGTCGACTGGTGATCTAGTATGCATGCCGGCGGCCTTGTTCTTCTCGGTGAACTTGCAGGAGCCACTGAAAATTTCCCTGACATGATAGAGGTTGTGATCTCCGGCTCCTGCTGGTGGATCAGGTGTCGTTGAAAGTTGTCTGCGCTCGTCGAGCCAGTCGCGGGCCGACTGCTGCCAGTCCAGGAGGCCTCGCGGCGAAGCGCTCGTAGGAACAATAGAAACGCTCGACGGTGCAGTAAAGGAGGTAGCTGCCGAAGACGGTCTCGAAGAGCCGGCGGCGGCGGCTGTCGTCTTCAAGATTGACCGTGTAGCGATAGTGCTCGTAGTGGTACTGCGGGGGATTGCTGATGGCACAGCTGAGCCTTGCCCCCGCTCATTGCTCGGCCCGCCGGGCCCTCGCGGCGGCGTCGGAGCTGCGGAAGACACCGCAGCGCCGCTGCTGTCCAGCTGGCAGCACGCTCCGTAGAGGACCCACTTCGTCGAAGACTTGATCATCTCTTTGTCCTGCTCCTCGAAGTCCGACACGGGAATCATCATGTGTCCCGAGATCGCGTTCTCGCACCGTATCACCTTACTGCCGGGGCTGAGAGTCATCGAGAAGCCTCCGGGGCCAGGGATGAGGACCGCGTTGCCGCCGGTGTCGATGATGGCGCGTGACTGTCTCTGCGATCGTAGGCCCCGCAGGGCCGGAACGCCAGCTCCGTCGCCCATGAGACAAGGGGCTCGAAACTCAGCGGGTTCTTCATTAAGTTGGATCGGTACAACTGCCTGGTGCGCAGCCTGCTGGCCACCCTTCCCCACGCCGTTGACCACGACGGGGTGCGCCGCAGGCTCGAAGTGCGTCTCGCAGCCCGCCGTCTTGGCGACGACACTCTGGCGATCGACGAACTGCTTGCCGGCGAGGTTGTCGATAGCGCCGCTGTCGACCAGGAGTCCTTCGCGAGTACTGGTAGCTGCGACGCCGAGTGAGCCTGGTAGCCCGTCCAGGAGCCCGCGATGCGCATGTCGCTGAGGTCGCTGCACCATGGGTAGAGGCGCTGAGTGCGCACCTGTGAGCTGCCCTGGCCGCGGCCGGCACGCTCTTCCCCACGTTCCCAACAGTGCAATCAATCGTCGTAGGCAGTACATTGATGGCAGAACTCCCTCCTGCAATTCTCGCATTCATAGAGCTCATGGTGGTGCTCCGTCTTGCAGTTGTGGCAGATGTGGTCCTTGGCAATTTTGTAGTGTTTGGGCTTCCTGGGAGCCTCCCCCTCCTTCTTGCCAGCTGTCCACGCCGTGGGCTTGAACGGTGTGGCGCTGCTGTCGAACGATGTTATCCTGGAAAGGGAAGGATCTCCCTGCTGGTCGACCTCCATGCCTGACTCGGGGCCAGCGTCGATCGGAATGAAGCCCTGTATGTGCCACATCTTGCTGTCGCTGCTGGGCGCTGAAACGTCGCTGTGTGCCTCTCCGCAGTAGCACTTCCATGATTTCGGAGATGCTGGCCGACGACCTTCAGGTTCAGGTTGCGGCTGCTGAGGTGGCGGCTGCCCCCCCCCTGCATCTGAAGGGGGCCGCGTCGGGTAGCCGCCCAGGGGGGGCCCCGTAGATGTTGGCGCTGACCGCGGAGGAGGATGCGAGACAAGGAAAGGTTCGAGAATGTATTGTTAGGTCCAACATTCGCCCTTGGCTCACCTCCGCTTCCGAAACGCTTCTTCTTCTGAGGACAGAAAGCTCGTAGATGACCGTCCAGATAGAACACCGAAGCGGTTTGCCATCCTTTCCCAGCGGGCTCTTCTTGCCCATCTGTAGTCAAACGGTCGCTTCGGGGAGAACTTAAATCGAGAGCGCTTGTGCTGGAAGTGTCTCGGCCGAGAGTCACGTCGTTCTCCGTGGCGGTCTCCTCGTTTGTGAAAGTCACGACGTCGTCGGCCAAACTTGCGGAACTTGTTCCAGCGCCGCGCGTGCTCGAGGAAGACCTGGTACTTGTCCTCGATCTCCTGGGGCATGACGAGGTTGTCCCACTCGGCGCAGCTGCTCTCGCACTGCAGGTACGCCGCCTGCGCCTGGTCTTCGAAGTCCAGGTCGTCGTCCGAGTCGTCGTCGCTCTCCATGAGGTCCAGCTCGTCATCGTAGTAATACGCAGTACACATGCTGCATCTCAAACATTCGCCACAGTGCTGGCACTGGTTGGAGCCCATGTTGTAGCTCTGGTGCGTTGCCGGTGCTCGGGAAGGCATGCGGTCCCAGAATGAGCCTGACGAGCGGCCACGTTGCTGTTCGAAGGTCGGGAAGGCTGAAAAATGACCATGCGCACAGCCCCCCCCGCTGCCCATCAGACCTCGGGGAACCTGAGGTCGCATAGCATTGTTCCTCCTGGAGTGAAGGGAGAGGTTGCGCTTCAGATGCCTCAAGAATGATTCATATTCCAGCTCAGTGCTCGGAAGCAGGCCTCGGGTCTCCACGAGAAGATTGGACCACGCATCCTCTGGGACATTCAAGGCTAGGAGGAGCATCCGAGCCAAGAATGCAAGAGCAACTTGGTGGCCAGCTTCATCGCGAGCTCAAATGCGGATGATATCGAAACGTGTGATGGCGTCTTCATAATCGTCGCGGGGGCCGATATCAAACTCATCGACTGCGGCTAGAAGCTGCAACTGCTTGTCCTGACTCTCGCCGCCCCAGCGTGCTCGAAGGGCTGACATGAGGATCTCCACACCTGGGCGCCCATCAGCGCCGTAACTAATGACATTGTCGGGGATCTCACGTAGCAAGGTCTTGGCGAGGCCAGAGACACGCTGGTAGATGGCTCCGCCGATTTGGTCGGCCTGCAGGTCGGTGAGCCTTGTCCAATTCGTGATGTCGCGCCCCCAATCCCTGAAGGTATAATTTGTGCCCGGCTGCCACGCTGGAGGAATGCGATGAGTGCCCTGAGCCTCCACAGCTCCAGGTGCCTGGTTCGCCATCGTCGCAGTCGATGGTGATCTCTATATATAGGGGATATTCGCATGGATGCCGATATTCGTATGGATGTTCGTGTCGATGCCGTTGGTAAGGTAGTATACGAAGATCTTTATATGGGGGATGTTCGTGTTGATGCCGTCAGTGAAGATCTTCGCGTTGCGGGTGTTCGTGGACTGGAGCCGAAGCTCCGCTACCAAAGTCAACGTATGCACTCGTCTTGTACTCCCTCTCTGCCTGCCTGATGCTCTGCTTGTCCGTGCTATCCGCGTGGAACCTTTCCCAGAGGACTGGGGGGGAGGTACGTTGATGTCTGGGGTCCGCCATCTCCTGGCGGGAAGAGCTGCGCCGTCTGTCGGCGCGCAGAACACAGGCTGCAGCCTAGATCCGAAACAGCCGCAGATCCACGGGGTCAGGGCGAGGCGCAGACGAGCCCGACGAGAGGGTTCTGATCGCTTCCTCCTCCTCTTCCTCCTCCTCGTCCTCGTCCTCCTCCTCCTCTTCCTCCTCCCTCCTGTCGCTGCCGCTACAGGCACCAGGGCCCCTCCCGTGGCGCTGCTGCTGCCCCGCCCCGTGGGCGGTCGCCCCCCAGGGGGGGGGGTGACCATCGCAAGATCTCTGCAGAAGCGGAACAAAAACAAGGCCCTCCGGAGAAGGAGGAGGAGGCGGAGGCGGAGGAGGCGGAGGCGGAGGCGGAGGAGGAGGAGGTGGCGGAGGCGGTTGGGGAGGAGGAGGCGGAGGAGGCGGAGGCGGAGGCGGAGGGGGAGGTGGAGGAGAAGGAGGAGGAGGAGGAGGAGGAGGAGGAGACGAACACAAAAAAAAAGGAAAAGGCCCTCCAGGGGACGGGGCAGGCGCCGGCGGCCCCTGGAGGTGATGACTGCTGGCGGCGAGTGCGCGAAGACGTGGCCCGGCCGACGGCGGTGGCGCGCGCGCTGCGGCTCGCTGTGCCCTTGTCGAGGGTCTTCAATCCCCCCGGGCCGCCTGCCCAGAAGGAATCGCCCCTCCCATCCATTCTCCTGGCTCCCCGCACAGGGGGCAAACAGGCATGGGAAGAGCAAGGGGAGGGAGAAGCTGAACGCGGCTGCCAGCGGCGGTGTTTTTGCAGGTCCACCGCTGCTCGTCAGCGGCGGTCTTGTCGCTTAGGGCTCCAAGTGAAAGTGAGCTTTCGCCGGCGGTGTTTTCGCTTAGGGCGGCCCCCTTTGGGTGGCGGTTGGAATGATGGAGTTGGCTTGGCGTGCGAGGGAAGAGAAGATCAAGAAATTGTTGGTGGAACCAAGCTTGGCACTCGCTGACACGATGGAACTGGCCTGATGCTTGCGTTGTGGTAATTCCACCCGCGGGTGTAAAGAACAATGACGTTCTGACGCGACGCGTTCAAAGGGTCACCCGTCACCCACCCCCCCACCCCTTCCAGCCCCCCCTCCAAACCAACCCCCTTCTTTCGCAGGCGTTGCTGCACACGGTGCGCTGAACCACCCATGATAACAAAAATGGTGCGCTACATGTGGGGCCCGCTGCAACGAACAAGCCCGTATCGTGGCATGTCGGTCGCTCCGGCGCGGTGGCGCGCGGCTAACACTTTGTGGCGCGAGCCGCTCTCAACATCTCCACGATTCCCGCGCCCCTGTCCAGGCCATGCTGCGGCCAGCAGGTTTCTCGTCGTGACACGTCCGCGCCGTCGAGCAGAGGTTCGATGACGGGCGGAACGTGCCTGCCTTGAGGTCTGCTCTAGCTCACGCCAAGGGCGCGCCGCATTCATGCTGAGGTTGGGCGGGGGGTGCCGATGAAGAACAGGGAAAGCAGAAACGAGGGAGGCCGGCAAGCGGCAGCTCAGATCTGGAGAGCATCTGCCCGCAGGCGCTCGGCGGCGACCCCCGACGCTCACCGTGTCGGCGCGGCAGACCGACCGCCGTGGCCACGCCGCGCGCTGGGTTGTTACGGCGGCTCCGCCACCGTCACCGCGCCCCCTCTCCCCACCCGCATTCTGCCCCCCCTCGCAACGCGCGGCTCGTCAGAGGCGGCTGCTGGGCAGAAGCTAGATGGATGCGCAAGGGAGAAAGCAGGGGAAGAAGGGGTGGGGGCCCGCTCCCGTCGAAAGTCAAGCCAGGCGCTCATGCTCACTCATGACATGCGGTTGCGACGCCGCTTGGCCATGAGCGGGCTGGACGTGTCTCGTGCAGGGACCGACCGCCCCTGCATTCCTATAGTCATACCACGGAATGTTCTTAGAACCCAAGAATGTTCGAATAACAAAAACAATGTTCTTAGTACATCACCCCCATGTGTTAAAACAAGACAATCTCCGCCAGAAATGTTCTAAGGACATTTCCTGGAAACCACAGAAGGTTCTTATTGGCTTCGCCAAGGGCTATGAAGGGACGCGTGGATATTTTCCCCCTTTCCAAATTTCATTTTAGTGGTCTCGTCTCGAGCAGCGACAGATCTCATTGAACTGATCTGCTCAGCAAAAAAACAAACGCGCGCAAAATCCACTGCGGATGCCCTCAGAGGAAAACGAACAATGGAATGCTGCATAAGCGGCGCCCGCGTTCCGCCCGCAGTCCAACTGCAGACAAAACCACAAATGACCAGCCAACCGGAAAGTTCACGAGCATTGCGGCGGGGACGGTGATACATCGAGCGAGGGCAGCGGAATTATAGCCGTCTGCTGGAGCCCAGCCAATGGCTACAAACATACAGCCGCAAACTGGAGGCAAAGAAACAAGAGCAGCGCGAAAGTAGGTCACTGCGAAACCGGACAGATGTCTCCAGGAAGGCGAATGCCCGCCAACGCGCCGCTTGCAATTGTTAATCATACTGGCCCGCGGTAAACCCCAGCGGCAACGCCCAGACGCCAACAATAACACCTAGACGCCCCAGCCGCAACCCCAGCCGCATACGCATTCGCGGATGATGAGGCGCAGGAAGCAGAGCAAAGGAGAGGAGAG